CCTTTGTTTCATTAGCTGATAGAAAAATTAAAAATAAATAATTTGCGTGAGGGAGAGGGGAGCTAATCTCTTAGTATTGATATTTTAAGTTAATAAAAACAAAAGTCGCGATATGATGTTTTAAATCGCTATAGTCTGACAATTTCACTTGTGTGCTTCTAGCCTGTGCTTACAAGTATTAGTATTTTATAGTTGATAATACAAGTTCTTGAGAGAGACACAGAGAAAGAAAGAAGAGAGAGAGAGAGAGAGGAGAGAGAGAGAGAGAAGAGGGGAGAGAGGAGAGAGAGAGAGAGAGAGGAAGAGAGAGAGAGAGAGAAGAGAGAGAGAGAGAGAGAGAGAAGAGAAGAGAGAGAGAGAGGAGAGAGAGAGAGAGAGAGAGAGGAGAGAGAGAGAGAGAGAGATGAGAGACGAGAGGAGAGAGAGAGAGACGAGAGAGAGAGAGAGAGAGAGGAGAGAGAGAGAGAGAGAGGAGAGAGAGAGAGGAGAGAGAGAGAGAGAGAGAGAGAGAGAGAGAGAGAGAGAGAGAGAGAGAGAGAGAGAGAGAGAGAGAGAGAGAGAGAGAGAGAGAGAGAGAGAGAGAAGAGAGAGAGAGAGAGAGAGAGAGAGAGAGAGAGAGAGAGAGAGAGAGAGAGAGAGAGAGAGGAGAGAGAGAGAGAGAAGAGAGAGATAGAGAGAGAGATAGAGAGGAGGAGGAGAGAGAGAGGAAGAGAGAGAAGAGAGAGAGAGAGAGAGAGAGAGGACGAGAGAGAGAGAGAGAGAGAGAGAGAGAGAGAGAGAGAGAGAGAGAGAGCCGAGAGAGAGAGAGAGAGAGAGAGAGAGGGAGAAGAGAGAGAGAGAGAGAGAGAGAGAGAGAGAGAGGAGAGAGAGAGAGAGAGAGAGAGAGAGAGAGAGAGACAGACAGACAGACAGACAGACAGACAGACAGGCAGACAGAGACAGAGAGAGATAAAAGTTTTCTCAGCTTAAGACAAAACATTATCTTCAAACCTGTGTGTTTGATGGGTGGTTGTGGTGGTGTGTAGTGTGTATGTGCGTGCGTGTGTGTGTGTGTGTGTGTGTTGTGTGTGTGTGTGTGTGTTGTGTGTGTGTGTGTGTGTGTGTGTGTGTGTGGTGTGTGGTGTGTGTGTGTGTGTTGTGTGTGTGTGTGCATCTTCTCGTGAAGATGATAATGATAATGGTGATAATTTTCTTAACGACAATGATGATAATAATGAAGATAATAGCGATAACAATAATAATGATAATAAAAATAACGATGATGATAATAGCAATATTAATTATGGTAATAATAATAATAATAATAATAATAATAATAATAATAATAATAATAATAATAATAATAATAATAATAATAATAATAATAATAATTAATAATAATAATAATAATTAATAAATATTAATAATAATAATAATATAATAATAAATAATAATAATAATAATAATAATAATAATGACAACAAAAACAACAATGATAATCATAATAATAGTGATAATAGTAATGAAACTAATAACAACAGAATAAATATTAATAATGATTTTAAAAAAAAATGTCGGATACAACACATGAACGCCAATTCATCCCCATCCAGATTAATGCCTGTATCAGATTTATGCCGATTTATATCGCCGATTTTCCTCTCTTTCAGAAACTAATCAGGGCTGTGGTGGTACTGCCGATTTAGATGCTGGGGACGTTATTATATTTTATTCACAAAATGACGGGACAAAATCAAAGTGCAAGTATACATTTAAGGTAAGAATTGTTGCCAGTGTGATTTCAAAAAAAACTTTGTATTAGATAAGAATTGTTGCCAGTGTGATTTCAAAAAAAATGGTTTTACTTTGTATTAGATAAGAATTGTTGCCAGTGTGATTCAAAAAAATGTTTTTACTTTGTATTAGATAAGATTTTGTCAGTTCGTTTAAGAATTATACTTGACAAAACAAATTTGTTACTTAACTTCGATAACAAAAAATGTCAGAAATTGGAATGAATATTATTTAACCACCAATATTACATTTTATTAAATAAATCCTGCGAAATTAAAACTCGTGATGAAAGTGTCACAGTAACTAAAAACATACGATTTCGTCTTTCTTAGAGTCCAGCCGGGACGTATTTGGCCATGGCGTGTCCCCAGTTCAACCTCAACCCTGCTGGCTGTAAAGCAGAAAAACTCACCCTGAAGATCACGTAAATGAATATCTTTACGAGGTTTTATGAGAGTGATTTAGTGTGAAATTCTGCAGCTCCCACAGCCGCCATTTTGTCTGCCCTGCGATACGGAGCACAAACCGCAATTTTAGGACCTTAATAACCCTCTTAATATCCTTCCTTTTGATACCTTAATTTTAGGACCTCAATAACCCTCTTAATATCCTTCCTTTTGATATCCAAATCTAACCCAAATCTGAACTGCAATACGAAGCACAAACCTTAATTTTAGGACCTCAATAACTCTTAATATCCTTCCTTTTAATACCTTAATTTTAGGACCTCAATGACTCTTAATACCCTTCCTTCTGACATCCAAATCTAACCCGAAGTCCGAAAGGCCTGACGCCGATTCTCCGGTTCCAGGGGAGCCAGGCCGGTCACCTACTGCGAGGACGAGGAAGTCAGTGTCGCGGTCCCGAGGAACAGCCTGAAGGTCACCTACAAGCGGAAGGCGCTGGGGAAGGGACAGTGCTCCGGGGGCTTCGTCTGCCTGGTCGGGGCGATAGAAGGTCGGTGGGCTTGGGCTGGAGGGACACGCACGCATTCACGCCCGCGCACACGTACACGAACACACACATACCCATGTACGCGCGCGCACACACACACACACACGCACACACACACACACACACACACACACACACACACACACACACACACACACACACACACACACACACACACACACACACACACACACACACACACACACACACACACACACACACACACACACACACACACACACACACATATATATATATATATATATATATATATATATATATATATATATATATATATATATATATATATATACATATATACACATGTCTTCATTACCAAGTAACATTCATCAGTAGTGTCACCCGGGAAAAAGTTGAGTGGATATCGTCTGATAATAAGTATCTGTCTGTCAGTTAGGTTCTCTCTCTCTCTCTCTCTCTCTCTCTCTCTCTCTCTCTCTCTCTCTCTCTCTCTCTCCTTCCTTACTTCCCTCTTTTTCCTTAACCATCACTGTTAAGCCCCACATTCTACCTCCTCCTATATTCCCTATGCCTGGGTATCTATTTCTACATCAAGTCAATCTCTCTTTCTAGAGTGAAGCTTCACCAACATCTACAGTTTTTCGGAAATTTTACGAAATTCTTCAAGACCGGTTCTTCGTGTGGATGTTTTTTGGACCTCGGAAGTTTTCAAGAATTGTGTTAATGATTTTTCGTGTGCTTTTTTCTCTTCGGAGGTCTTCAGAAATCTTGTGAAATTCTTCAAGATTGTTTTTTTTCGTGTTTTTTTTTCTCTCTCTCTCTCCCTGGAAGTTTTTAAAAGCCTACGAATTTTTTAAGGTTTTCTCTCTGAAAATCTTGAAAAATATGCTAAATCCAAGACTGAATTTTGTGTGTTTTTTTCTAGAAAAAAAAAACGATTTTTTTACTTTCTGTACTAACGTTTTTAAAATTGCTAAAATCAAGACCAATTTTTTTTTTTTTTTTTTTTTGAGGAAATTTTCAAAAAGAAATTTTAAAGACTTTTTTTGTAATATGTTTTTTTCTCTGGAAGCTTTCAAGTCCGTTTTTGTGTGATGTTTTCATTATGTTTTTTTTATGTTATTATGTTCATTATGTTATTTGATGTTTTTGTTTTCATTATGGCTTCCTTACTGGAATTTTTCGAAAATTCAAAATTCAAAACTCGCTCGGAAATGTATCCAGATTATTTGTGTTAATTTGTAACGGATTAATCATTTGAGTTCTGTACATGCGGTATTGGTTAATAAAGAGTGATGTATAAAAAACAAATCTGTCTCTTTTCCCGCTTCTTCTTTTTCTTCCACTTCCTCTTCCTTTTTTCCTCCTCCTCCTCCTCCTCCTTCCTCTCTCTCACCCCCCCCCTCTCTCTCTCTCTCTCTCTCTCTCTCTCTCTCTCTCTCTCTCTCTCTCTCTCTCTCTCTCTCTCTCTCTCACACACACACACACACACACACACACACACACACACACACACACACACACACACACACACACACACACACACACACACACACTTTCTTTGCAGTGAATTGCAACGCCCTGGCTAGCGGCAGCGGGTGTCCTTCGGCGTAGGGTTGCACTTTTGCCAACCTCAAACTATTCGCAAGAGTGACTGTGTCCCCGAGGTTTTAAGTTCTAATATTTTAAAACCATTGAACCAAATACTGGGTAAGAGTAAAACATCATTCATAAAACAATTAAAAAATGAGTAAATCAGAAGGAAGTAAAACATGATCAAATAAAACTGACTGAGGGTGGTCTGCAAAAGGAAAGAAATGCAATTGTGTAAATATTCATTTATCCACCAGGTTATCATACTCAATTTGCATGTAACAAAAAAAAAGAGAAAAAAAATTGCACCTGGCGACATACTGACACACACACATAACTTCAGGCAAAAAAAAAAACTGAAAATCGCAATTGTCTCCTTAGTCACGCGACAAAAGATAAAAAAGCAAGGTGTAAAGTATAAGGCCTAGTACTGAGAAATATCAAGAGAAACGGAGAGGTTTTGAATAGGGAGACACAGGTGAAACATGGAATAAACACGTCAATCCATTTAGATATCAATTTCAGAACCACCCATGACTTCTCTTCATCTCATTTTGAATGCCCCCTATTAGTATGCCCGCAACCCCCCCCCCCCGCTCTGCACGCCACTGAAATAGAGACTAAAACTTCCTCAGAAACAATTGAATAAAAATAATATAAATAATCAGAAGAAAAGAAATGATAACCAAAAGATTAAGAAGTGATAAAATAAAACAAAAGTACAGAGATGAGAGAATAAAAGGCAGTAGCACAAGAAAAGCTGAAGAAGACAGAAAAATAGAAAATATGAGGAAATGGGAAAACATAGAAAGGTAAAATAAACAATCACTCACTCATTCACTCATTCACTTCACTCACTCACTCACTCACTCACTCACTCACTCACTCACTCACTCACTCACTCACTCACTCACTCACTCACTCACTCACTCACTCACTCACTCACTCACACTCACTCACTCACTCACTCACTCACTCACTCACTCACTCACTCACTCACTCACTCACTCACTCACTCACTCACTCACTCACTCACTCACTCACTCACTCACTCTACTCTACTCTACTCTACTCTACTCTACTCTACTCTACTCTACTCTACTCTCTCTCACTCACTCACTCACTCACTCAAAGGAATATGACACCTCATCCCAAACAGAATAGGCAAAGTAAAAACCATTATGAGTTGAACCCTCACACGAAGTTCTTGACCTTCTTGGATGCCGCCCACACCACGAGTAAGAAACGTCTAGCATAAAAAATACATTTTTGTTCCTGCAAACAAATAGTACTTCAGGCTGATCTTTACAACACATAGATTACAGCCGTGGGTGTATATACAGAGGACAGATTTCTTCACAAATACGTCTTTTTATTACCTTTAAACCTATCAAGAACATCTAATTTCATTCAGGGTAGTGAAATTAACAAGCATCCTTCCATGACCAAAATTTATTGAATGATCTAGACAGCATTCATTTCCATATAAAAGATACAACAAAATATACTTAAATCATTATACATGAACGAATATAATTTTTGCAACATAAAGTAAAAAAAGGGGAAAATAATATATATATTTATATATATATATATATTTATCCATCATAAAACATACTAACAGCAGGACTAATATTAATGACCTTTTTCTCAAAAAATAATCTTTCTTTTGTTTCTGATCTTGCTCTTCCTTTAGGCATCATTTCAACAGAGCTTTTTTTTCTATCTATGGTTTCCTCACGAAAACTCTTTACCTCAAATTCACACGTCATTAATGAATTGTTCAAATCTTACTCTAAATTCAAGTGAAACGGAAACCCTATTTGAATTTTACCAAAAAAGTTATTCAGCAAATTTCACTTTCGGAGAAATATACAATGTGAATACTGACAAAATTTTCCTTCCTTTTTTGGAGTATTTAGTTCTATTATTCGTCAATAGCATATTCATAAAATGTAAGCCATTTCTTTATTCATTAAGCAAATATCTTGGGCAACTCATACTGCAAATATACATAATTCTTAAAGTTTATTTTTTTCTTCTTTTTTCTTAACAAAACTTAAATAAAAAGGAATCAGAATCAGTCACAATAAAATCTGGATACTAATTTGTATAAAGACGACTTCCTTCTTTCCGGCAAAGGAAGGAATATTTCAGATCATTAACTTAGTACACTGCAGATCTGTATTTTGCATCCTTAAATGCAGAAAAGAAATACCACAAAGCTTGTGTTAAATCATTTCAACAACAAAGTAACAAAAACACTTATCACAAAGGAAAGTATATGGCACCAATTGTCATAAATAAAATGTTAATGTAAAGCTTTCTATTCCTAAATAAATTCACATTTATGAAAATGCACAACACATTCAGTTTGAGACCAAATCTTGAAATTTACATGTATATCAAAATGCACTCATTCATGAACTAGTATTATGATACTATAAATGATGCTTTTATGATACTTTTTTTTTCTTTTTTAATATACACTGTACCTCTTCACTTCATGTGTGCAAGAGAGTTACATGCACACATCAACTATGAACACTGCTGAAGAAAAAAAACGCTACATTTCATATTGAACACATTTTGCACAGTTTGTAAACTAATCTTAGTGAATAATATGCATTTCTCTCTTTACCACAGGAAAATAGACAGTACTGATGTGTTAGAACGAGAATCCCAAAATGCCGGCAGTTTTATTTGCAAGGCTTCGACCCATAGAGGGGAATATTTTCCAGACAGAATTACCGCCTCATTACACAAATCTCTGCTATACACTGTAACATCACCGGCACTTCTAATGGGTTTAATCACCTCATTGCACACTGGATTACATTTCTGTCTTACTTCACTTGATAAAAAATACATTTGTAGTGGGATGTCACCCTTCAGTCTCCCTCTTCAGTCTCTCTCTTGCTCTTATCCCTAAAAAACAATTTCTAAAGTACTTTTACAAAATATCTAGTGAAAGCCTACAGCTAATACATATGGCAGACCAAGCTGAATAAAACAGGTAAGAAAAATCATCAAATGCATATCAATGCTTACCTTATAGGAAAAATGGGGACAAAAGAATAAAGATCAAAATAACGAATAAAAAATATATATATCAAATAACATTTCTAATGATAAAATGCTTTACATATGTTCTATCAACCTTACCAAGTAGAAATCCACTTAAGTGTGTTAGAAAGCTATCACATAATACCTGTTATTAAGCTCAAGGGCCTGTGCGCCGCAAAACCCTTAGTTAAACTATGACCGAACTGAAAACGGGAAGGGCAGCATGATTGAGACATTTCTTAATATAAAGTATAGTAGATTTCTTAGTGAACATGAGTGTGAGTGTGTGCACATGCATGCGTGTGTGCATGATATATAAAGTATTTTCTTTATGGAAAAAAATAATTTCATCTGTTTTGACATTCATTTAATAATCTTTTTAAGTTCTCTTGTAAACTGTGAACATCCTTTCTGTCATCAAAGCACTAAAAAAAAAAAAAAAAAAAAAAAAAAAAAAAAAAAAAAATCATTATGCTTATTCTTCTTCATTATATATATATAAAAAAAAAGTCCTGTTCAAAGTAAACACTTTGTAATTCATATCATTTTATCCTTCTTCTTCAATTTAGTTCTGAACCACATACCACCCAGAAATGTTACCACATCCTATAATACTTTTATAAACTATTACCCATAACTAAAGGCAATAAAGAAAAGTACGAAAAAATCACATAGTAATTCACACTTTTACATTCATATTCATTGAACAAATACATATGCACATGCTATACTTAAACCTGTAAAAATACAAATTAACAATAGCACACACTCTTGAACAAAACCAAATAAACAAACCAATCAATATAAATATAAATCATAAAAAAAGAAAGAAGGAATAACCTCACCTCAGGACAACCAAACGGAAAGCGTCAAAAGTCAAATAACACCGAGACAATAACGCTTTCATTTTCCCTCATGATATTGGGGTGTGGAATATAAGGCAACTCGGGAAATGAATGGAAAGAGAGAAAGAAGCAGAAAGGAAGGAAACTGAAGTGGGGAAAGTAAGACATGAAGCTGAAAGGAAAAAAAAAAATGACTGAAGTATAGAAATGAAGAATGATAATGAAGAAGAAAAGAAGTGAAGCAGCAGAGAGGAAGGAAATAAATAAAGCAGAGACAAAGAAAAAAAAAAAGGAAAGCAAAAAAAAAAAGAAAAAGAGAGAAGCACCAAAGACGAAGCAAACAAAATGGAAGGAAAGAAATGGAGTAGAGAGAAAGAAAACGAAGTGGAGGGAAGAGATATACAAGAAAGAAAACAAAGGAGAATAAAAGAAAAGAATCAGTAAGGAAGGAGAGGAAGCGGGGAAGGGAAGACATGAAAGGAAAAAATGAGACTAAATGAGAGAAATGAAGCAACAGGGAAGGAAAAGACAAAGTAGTGGGGAAATAATGAAGAGAAAAAAAGGGAAATGAAGAGGAATGGGGGGACATGAAGTGAAAGGAGAGACATGAAGTGGAAGAAGGTACAGGAAGTGGAAAAAGAAACGAAGTAGAGGAAGAGTAATGATACGAGAGGAAAATATGGAAACAAAAGGGAAGAACTGAAGTGAAATGGGAGAAATGAAGTTGAAGGAAAGAATTACGATGAAGGAAAGAATGACAAAAAGGTGATGGAGAATAAAGGACATGAAGCCAACAGTAATGATATGAGAACAAGAAAATGGAAGATAGAATGCAGGGAATGGTTGTAGAAGGAAAATCAGTACTGAGAGAGCAAAGAAGGATAAAGCAGAGAAAAAGCAGAAAGAAACAAGAGTGAAAATAGGAAAAAAAAAAAAACATAAAAGCAAATAACCAAGTTGAAGAGAGGTGGAGAGAAAAAAACAGGAAATCTACGACTTTCTTCCTACGCCTAGGACAATATCAGGTCATTACTCATGTTATCACTATTTCTACAAGGAATTAGCAAGTACTCCCATCACCCATACAACACACAGATAAAAGCCTTTGCAATATATACTACATGTATATGTTTTTAAAACATTCAAAAATAAAAGTAAATCAAAGGCTATTGAATTAAACACTCAGATTTACAAAGTTAGTGTCTAAATCAAATCAAATGAAGAGGATATGCCTCTTCTCTTCACCTGCAAACAAAACCAAAGACTGTTTTTCTCACCTAAAAGGACATCTCAACTTTCATGATATTCCTGAATCTACCTGCATAAATCTTCTCTATACACATACCATATAACATCTTGGGAGGAAATTTACACATTAGTCATATCTTTTCAAACTAGCTTTCACAAAAGTTTGGGTTTATCTAACCTGCTCACTGAGGTCATGATACTTGCCTAAGCACAGAGCAGCACACAGTAACACACCCTGGTCTTGCTATACTGTAGTTACAATTCTACCCATTGCGAATGAGTTATTACTCTCCCTGAAAATAATAGGTGAAAACACTTTGATTCAGTGAGAACCATTTACAGTACTCAACTTCTACAAAACCCTTCTTGTACTAACATAGAACTATCTCTACACTACCTACTCAAACTGTTCTCACAGATGACCTAGGAAACCATATCCGCGCAAAGCTCCTCGCAACAAATATGAAACTAAAGACTATTTGGGAAGAGATATCATTTCCGTTTCATACTGTAAAAGAAATTAAAAAAAAGTCAACATCAAAGCCAATTACAGCCTCACTCTTGGCTCTGGGAATACATAACCGACTCCCAAATAAACAGACAAAATTCTAATTCTGAAATGCAATGCAGTACAATAATTCAATTTTCTTTCTTCCTATCCTATCAATATATATCTTTTCACCTACAAAACTAGCAAATGCCTGGGGTGAGAATGCTTGTCTATGAAAAAGTTTGAAAATTTGCTGGGGGTCCTCTTGCTCTAGGTCCATACCGTTACAGAGACCAAGCCCAAGTAGGTCCTCCACAGAAGCTCGGAATTTTGGCTCTATGATTACCCAAGAATGATTAATTTTAGCAGTCCAACCTACATAATCTTGTGAAAATGGATACGACCAGTGTGATGACCAAGTTACTGAAGCAATATGACACATGAACGAAAAAAAAAAAAAAAAACATAACTCAACAAATCCGCAGAAAATGTGAATGGCAAAATGCAGTCCATACTAAAGTACTAGCACCAACTAAAAAGTCTGTTTCATCAACTTTCACAATGTCAGCCTCCACACTGTCAAAGCACATATCAGATGGCTGTCTTTGTCCGAGTGTGTATATTCTCAGCCATCTCAATTTTCTTTCCTTTTCCTTGGAGATTACTGAACAATATTTAGTAACCACTAATTCCTTGTAAAAGAAAGTCATTTGGATTAAAAAGAGAATAAAAAATGTTTTTCTCTTTCACTTCCTTTCACCTCCCTAAAAGACTGTATATTCGTTACAATGACATACAAACATTTTTCATTTTACTTTTCACAAATGTACATATAAACTGGAGTTGCAGTGCCATGATTTTGAGTGGATACAATGGCTTGCTTCACAGTATAAACTATTTCTTCCATATTGTGAGTTTCAAGAAAATACCATTCAAAGTACAGTACTATCTATGAGTCATCATCTCAGCAATCGGCACATTTCTGCTAATAGGTTAAGGCAGAGCACCAAACACGGGCCCCCCTACAGACCATCTTGTCCTTTTCTTGATCCTGCCCACCAGCTTGAAGCTATGTTTATCATTCACAACATTTTTTATGTGTCCCATAAGTCAATAAATCAAAGGAGTTACTTCATTAACATTTACGATTCCTGCATCCATCACTCCCTTGCCTCATATTCCAAAACTTATCAACGATAAAAAGATATGAAACGTAAATAAATGTGATATGACATGACATGATAGGAACTATACAAAATACATAATGTGTTTGTGAGTTACTGAAGTCAATAATCAAAATAAAGATGTCAGAGTTTGCGCCCATCTGACCCTAACCACTCAACCCCACTCTCCGTCGTTCACTCTCGGCAGTACCTTAAGTATTCCGAACACCATATGCCTCTCAAACCACCAAACATAACATTCTAAATTCATTACATAACAAAAAAATTCAATAAATTAGTTCTATCCTCTGTCTAATTACTTTCTCCTGTGAATTGTATGATATGAACATGTAATGCACATATGTCCCAACAACTTGTCTTTTTGCCTCCCTTGCAATCTGTATAATGATGAAGCATGTTAACCCGATGTCACAGGGGATGGCTTGAAAGTACCTGCCATGCCCACTGGGAGTTTAGCTTATTAATTGTCTTAATACATAGATTGCCTCTACAAGTTCTTAGCACCAATGAGCCAATTACTAGTACTATCTCACCTGTTCACCCTTTGTCATTACAATAATCAATACTGATAGCATTAGCCAAATAAAAACATAAACATTTTCCTAAAATCTTGAGGAAACTGGAAATCTGGTGAGGTTACGAGGGCTACTAAAGGACTCATTGGCTAAATGCTTATGGCGCCACCCATGTGTAGAGACATTTCGCATAAAAACAATAATACAGTGAACGCTAAATTCTCCCTGTGGCATTAGGTTAAATTGTAACAGCATGGTCTATAAAACAATTATGTATGGCTAAGTCAACAATCAAATAATTCTAGTAAGGGCCTTCCATACATCCTAAATTAAAAAATATTTATCTCAGAAGAGTTTGCTGCATAGTGGAAGTTCATTATAATATACATATGCGTATGTGTTTGTTTTTCATTCAGCAATAATAACGGTTAAACAATGCTAATAATGCTAATAATGACAATAATAATGATAATAATATAATATAATAATAATAATATAATAAATAATAATATAATAATAATAATAATAATAATAATAATATAATAATAATAATAATAATAATAATAATAATAATAATAATTAATAATAATAATAATAATAATAATAATAATAATAATAATAATAATAATAATAATAATAATAATAATAATAATAATAATAATAATAACAATAATAATCATCATCATCATCAAAATAATATAAGAGCATAAGAGACAGGAGAGAAAGGAAGAGGGAGTGGGACAGAGGAGAGAGAGAGAGAGAGAGAGAGAGAGAGAGAGAGAGAGAGAGAGAGAGAGAGAGAGAGAGAGGAGAGAGAGAGAGAGAGAGAGAGAGAGAGTGAGAGAGAGAGAGAGAGAGAGAGAGAGAGAGAGAGAGTGTGAGAGTGAGAGAGTGAGAGTGAGAGAGTGAGAGTGAGAGTGAGAGTGAGAGTGAGAGAGTGAGAGTGAGAGTGAGAGTGAGAGTGAGAGAGAGAGGTGAGAGTGAGAACGTGAGTGAGAGTGAGAACGTGAGCGAGAGCGAGAGTGAGTGTGTGAGTAAGTGTGTGAGCGTGTTTATAAGGTGTACATTATGTGTCTGTGTGCGTGTCCACACTCACTTTCCTGTATGCAGCAGGTATGGTGTGAGTTTGTAAACAGATCCAGATATCTAAAACCTAAAAATAAAATTGCAACATTGCTTTGGTATAAAAATAAAGACCTCTTTACAAAAATCAAACAAAGACAAAAAGAAAACAAAAGGGAACATACTTGGGAAAAAACACAACAAAAGATCAACGTATCAGTGTCATTTGTATGCCTGTCTGTGCGTCAGTTAAGACAAGGAGCTTGTATCCCTAATGGACGTTGGGGTTTAATTTACTTATGTTTTAACAATAATGACAGATGAATAAAAATAACTATAAAAGAATAAGAATAATAAGAAAAATAAGAACTGAAAAAGAAAACCTAATAACAAATCAGCGAAATGAAAATATACGTTATTGTCACCGAGTCTCACCGAATCTCTGGAAGTTCTGTTATGACACGAAAAGAGGAACCTCAGCACAATGCGTCTTGAAATAACTTACATTGGTACCTAACCCTGTTTCAGCTATTACAAAAGGATGTCCGGTGGGTATGCTGAGGAAGAGTGGATCTCCGGATCACATTTCAAAAGTCTATTCTTAGAGGCTATGCATGGAACTTGTATAAAAACTCTAATAATCAACCCTTCGAGGCGAAAATGCAGCTGGTATTGTTCTCCGATATGTGCACACTGGATGAAATTTGGTATAAGTAACCTAAAAAAAAACTAATATCCAAATTAGAAAAATTTGAGCTGAAGTAATTGTGTATTTGCATACACATAAAAAAAAATGTTTTTCTCTTCCTGTGTGTACATGGTAACTTTTTAGGGTTAGTGTCAAGGAGAAACAGAAGTTATGTAAATCATAAAAATTCAAAATAAAATTATCACATACAAGAGAGTGTAACTGCATATAGTGGACTACTATGATATTCTATTTCTTTACAAAATACAAATATCTTTAAACTGTCTCTCAACAATCAAAAAAGAATAGGAAAGAAAGAAAAAAGTAAAAACAGAATTTACAAAAGACTGACTTCATCATGGCTACACCTGGATTATACAACAACCTCTTAATTGCTATCCGTCTGAGACTTCACACAAGGTGACGAACCCTACAACTCTACATGTTCAATTTTAGCTCATTTTGTCAGAAAAATCACACACCTATTACTAACGTTTTCCCTTTTTCAGCAATTCACTCAAGCACCTCTGATTCGGTCTCCCTCTCATTCATCTGGCGGGCGACATCCTTGTCACAGAAGATCTTCAGTGTCTTGATGAAGTTCTCAGGTTCCTTGACATAGAGGTTGTGGGCGAACTCCATGTCCCTGTACCACTGACGGCCAGGCACTTTCTCCAGGATCTTGAGGGAGTTGACGAGAGAGACATATTCTTCCACTTGACGGCTCAGGTCCCGCTCTCTCATGTCCGGCTTGTTGCAAATATTCTTCTCCCACGCCGCATTCACTGACCGCGTCCAGCAGCTGGTGGCTCTTGTGCTCGCGTTTGCCTTGTCCTCTGGCTTCCCTACAGGTAATGTGGCGAATAGACAGCACGATCAAAATCAATGATGTATAAGAAGAGGATTGAGCTTATAAAAATCAAATTACTGATAACAAAATGAAGATTTCAATTAAAAAGAATAATAATTTAAGTTTGGATAACAAGAAAATAGCAAGGTTCCAAATAAACATAAAAAAGGATTAAAACACCATCCTCACTGTTCATAGGGAAAGCTGAGAGAAATCTGATGCAATACTTGACACCTTAATCAAAAAGTCTTTAAAAACAGCATGACACTATACAACAAAACACAACTTATCACCAAATACAACATTAAGAAAATAATAAAAGTACACTGAGAATCACATAAAAACAATCCACACTAGAGAAAACAAGGCTACACTCAGACAGACGCTACACTTACGCAGGAATTCCTGGTTGAATATCTCAATGGCCCTGTCCCAGCTCATGTTGTTGGGCCCCCCTTTCAAGTTCACAGTCCGGTTGTGAACAGCGTCATGTGAAGCCATGCGGGAGATTCTTCCAGCCACAGCTGCAGAGAGTTGGTTTACATTAGTAACATTTGGATCTCCAAGATATGGACAAGGGTATATATGTAGAGCTTGGGAAAGTAAGAAAAAAAAAATTATATACAAACATTCATACATATTCACAGATAGACAGATAAGACACATAGACAGTTAATATCATATGATCATAAACATGCATATGCACACTCAGGATGCATGGTAAACCTTTGTCTAATTCCAAATACCCAAAATACTACACCAAAGAATGGGGTCAATTTCATAAACCTCTGAACATCAACCTACTTCCAATACTTCAAATTCCCATCATCCATACACACCCGAGAGGAAGGAATAGCCCAGGTGCAAGAACTCGGTGTGGCCGTGGTTCTCGAAAATAGGCATGCACACTTTCCAGACTGCGTGTAGCAGCCATCCATTCCCTTGGCGCTCGGCTGAGTTGGCCACCCAGAAGAAAAGGCAATACCACAGGAGGCCGCGGTGGTACTCCCACACCCGGTCCACCTGCTCCACTTGCCTCAGCTTGTCTATGTTGGCTGCGCAAGAGCTGCAAAGCCAGTCATCTGTTGGTAAAACAATTTTGATAACAAATGCTTCATAGCTCTTTGCATCTATAAGTCTGATTATTTGCTAATTTGGCTTAAATAGAACTTGCAATAAAATTAAACAAAAATTGCAGTAGTAATGTGTCATATGCAGAGAAAAATCAATAAAACCAGATAAAAACTGATAACACAAACTTTTAAAAGCAATACAAAATGTGTACAAATATCAAATATCATTATCACTTAATAACCAATCATTAAGTTTCAAATATCATAACAGTATAATATTGCTGCCTCATGCCTTACACTGAGCACAGCATATAGACACATATACTTTCAAACACATATATAAATACATATATAAATAAACAAATAAAAAAATAAATACATATGAATACAAACATATATGTATATAGATAGATAGATAGATAGATATAGAACTGTTTTTTTTTTTGTCCATAAAACAATAATGCAAATTAATATAACAACATTCTTCTGAATTAATTACATAATTTATAAGTCCATCACCTGAGCAAAATATATCAAAATGAACGAGAGAGAGAGAGAGAGAGAGAGAGAGAGAGAGAGAAGAGAGAGAGAGAGAGAGAGAGAGAGAGAGAGAGAGAGAGAGAGAGAGAGAGAGAGAGAGAGAGTGAGAGAGAGTGAGAGAGAGTGAGAGAGAGTGAGAGAGAGTGAGAGAGAGTGAGAGAGAGTGAGAGAGAGTGAGAGAGAGTGAGAGAGAGTGAGAGAAAGAAGGAGAAAGAAAATAAAAAAATGAGAGAATATGAAAATTAGATAGATAATGAAACAGAAAAAGAGAGAAAAAGAGAGAGCAACAGAGAAAGAGAAAAAGGAGAGGATAAATTACCTTCAGGTGCTTCTGACAATCCCGAGCACTTCTTGTTGAGGTGGAACCAGGCACCGCGAGGGCAGTTTTCCCTGCGGCCGCATTCCACGAGACCGTCATTCAGGGGCTTCTTGCAGCAGAAATAGAAGGGGCGGCTGCAACGCTCTGTGCATGGAAGCAGGGCCTTGTCCTTGAAATTGACGCAGTCCCCAAAGGAACACTCTGAGAGGAGAAAGACGGCGATTCAGTTAAAAAAATCAGAGAAAAAAAAATTATCAGAATTCTACAAGTCATTGGAAGAACTCTAAAAACTTGTTTCTTTCTCTTTCAGGTCCAAATTACCTCCGTCTCTAACTGGCTCACTTGACTGCCGCACGGCATCGAAGGACGCTGTGTCAATCTTGGGCCAGATCTCATTCACAATTTCCTCAGAGATCTTCTCTAGTATTCTCTTCCTCTCCTCGTTGCTCAGGCTATTCCCACCGGGCATCAGCAAGTGCAGCTTCTGCTTGGCCATGGCCATCGTGTGACCATGAGCAACCAGCTCGAGCAAAGAGGTGATAGCCTTGAAGTCTGGGTTTTCACTTCTCGTGACGCCTGGTTTGAAACTGCTGCAGATGTGGTGCAGGCTTCCACTCTCACTTGTTAAATCACTTGGATAGAAGATTTTGATGATATCCTGCAAGAGATGAATAAACTGTATTCATTGCAGCATATGCAGGTATGAATGAGAACGAATATCTTCACAAACCAAGAGATATAATTAACTGGTTTCAAATATATCTTAGTCAGAAATACACAAGATCAATATTCACTGAATGAATCTTTGGAACTTAAAGTGGACTGCCTAAATAGTTTAGTTATATGTAAGCTGATGTTAAGTAATACAGAAAACAACCTCTGCCTGAGCTGGTGATATTTTCATACAATCCATCCCATACCTGAGCTAAGAGTATTTGACGTCCATAATCTGTCACACAGGGTTCCAGGCCATCTAATCTGTCCTCCTTTTCTGAGAAACAAGACATGACATCCTTGGCACACACCATCCTTTCAACGCTTCGCTTGTTCCCGAATACGCAGAGTGGGGTGGCCTCCCCTTCATCAGAGGGCATGTACATCTTAAGGTCTTTCAGTATGAGAGCCACATTACCATTGTCTGTTGGACTTTTGAAGACAGACCCTAGATCAACCTGTAAGCAAGTTAGAGATCATGAGTTCAAAATCTTTGCTTTTGAAATGAAAGTCTGACAATATATATATATATGATAGAAAACCTATATTCATACATATGAATAAGATATATAGATAGGACGAGACATAAATACACAAGTAACATTCCCTCACCGTGTAATTCTTCTGCATCATGAGGTCTGAGTACTGGTGGTGCTCTGTGACAGTCAGTTTATTGAACACCTTCAGATACTTGATGAGGATCTTCTGCACCTCCTTCTTCATCTGCTCCCTCACTCGAATGAAGTCCTCAGAGTCGGGAACAAACTCCTCAAAGGAGATGTTGTCAGCTAGGCGGATGTCCGGGTCCTTGTACGTCATGAGGAAAGGCACCCTGTTCCTGGCAGCATAAGCCTGTGCCATCAGCGGATCAGGGTTCTTCTTCTGGCTATGTGAGGAGTACTGCGGGTGCTGGATGGAATCCCAGCATAGGCTATACGAGATCACTGATGTGTCACAGGCATAGAAAAAGAAGTCTATGAGAATGTGGAGTCAAATTTCTTCTAACAAAAATGACTAAACTTTATCTATTTATGCAACATAATCAACATTAAATAATGTAATATCCAACAGCTGATGTGTCACTGATTCACTTTTTTCAGTAAGTCTTGTATATAGCCTAAATTCAATATTACTGACAAAGAGAATAGCTATTCTTTGTCTTGACTCATACTTTTGCCATAAATAATAACTATGACAAATCTCTCTTCTGACCATAATCAATGTAAATTTCTCCCCTCCTCACAATGCTTTACAAGTCTTTCTCAGAACAGCATTTAGCCAGAGCAACCTTACCAAGTAGCTGTAGTGTCAATAGTAAGACAGCACACATTATCAGGTCAATGAGTAAACAATAGTTCACTGCTGGTACTTTCTACTAAAGTCATCAATCTCTAATTCTGTTTTGTCTTATAGTCCCCACAACAAAACTTCCAATCCCAAATAAAAAGAAAGGAAATACTAATCAAATAGGGAACATGTAGTTTCCTGCTGCATCAAGCTACAGCTACAACCCAATAAAAAAAAGTGAAAATTGTAATCACAAGCTGAAGAAGAAAAGGAAGAGAAAATTCCCTTTTTTGGTCCCTTGGTCACCGATTTTCATACTACCTGTAGTTGGTTTTGGAAGAACACTACGGGATTTCCTTCTTTCTGCATTGTATTTCCGTGGGGAAGGTGTTGGTCTATGGTGGACGATTTTGAGTGCACGCTGTAAAAATAGATAAGAGCAAAATTCAGACCAATTACCTATGTATTATCAAAGTGCGTACATACACATCTACACACACATAAATACAATAACCCGTCCTTCATCCATAAACCCTGTCTTGAAAATCCCCATAAAAAAAAAAAATTAATACAGCATAACCTCAGCATGACTTATGGTACTTTTCTGAGTGGAATGAATGAAGACATCATACATAATGGAATATGACTACTTCCAAATAACAGGCAGTGTGAATGGATTCTGAGAGCCTAGTAGGATTCCCCTACAGATACAAATACTGGTAATTTTCAGACAGTACAGCTATGTCAGTTTCTCAGAAGACTTTCAGAAAACATCAGTATAGTAAATACAAATATATAAATCAAATGCATAAACAAATATTTGGGAAACGATTGGGAAAAAAAGTCATTTCTTCAAATAAGCTGCACCGTAAACAACAAAAAAAACTTTGGTTCAGGTAACCCAACTGATTGTATTTTTTGCCCAAAAAAACACCCACTCAAAAATTTCTATTGCTCATTTCCCATCTACCACAAATCTAAAACCCTCATTTTCAAAATATTGCCAAATCACAACCCCCTAGCTCCACAACAGCTATATTTATGACTACCAAAGCATACTGAGCAAACCTCATGCCGCAGGGACTGCATCACATCAACTGCCACTAGCTGATGTGATATCAAAATGGGAGCCCTCTGACTGAGGCTTTAAAAAATAAACAAGATTTGTAATTTGAATCTAAACTTCAGTTTTATTTTTACAGTGTAATATTTGGGTCTGAGAGGCAGGGTTTAGAGTGAGCTGATGTCCACAAAGAGGTTCATTCTATCCCTTCTCAAAATAAAATAAAAAATCTAAAATAAAACAAAAATCCAGAGGGAGTCTGTTACCTGAACCAAAGTTTATTGTTTTTTTGTTTTAGGCTTTATTAAACAAACACTCAGATAATCATACATGACCTTCCAAATATAAAGCAAAAACAAACATTCATCGTTAACACAAACCACTCAAAAAGGACACATCCTCAAAAATGTTACCAAACTTATATACCCACATAAAACCTCATCCTTGTGATTACCCAAAGACAACTTTCTCCAAGCTTCCTAAAATGCCAGAAATTCACCACCACGTACACTCACACAGACACACCATACTTGCAAAACAGATAGATAGGCATGCGACGGTTCCCTACCTCAACCTCATCCTTCCAATCCCACACGGGGTCTGACGGCACTGTCGAATACTGCCTCAACACCTCAAACAGCTTGCAGGGGGGAGTGGTGAGGCCAATTTCATGTAGCGTTCTATTTACCTGTATGTTGAAGAAACAGATAGAGAAATAAATAAGGCGATAGATTATGGTATGATTATCAAAATGCTACTTGTATTTAATGTCGAGCTCACAGACAGGATATGGAAAGGGAAGGGGAAGGGGAGGGGGAGCAGGCACAGGAGAGGGAGTAGAGAGGGGGAAGGAGTGAGAGAGAGAGATAGAAAGAGCTAGAAATAGAAAAAGGAAGAGGAAGAAAAGAGGAAGAAAGGGAGAGGGAAAGGTAGGAGCAGAGAAGGAGAAGAAAGAGAGGTAGTGAGATAGGAGAGGGGAAGAGGAAGGAGATGACAAAGGAGAGAGGGAGAGGAGAAGGGGGGAGAGGGGAGGAGGGGGAGAAAGAGAGGAGGGATAAGGGTAAGGAAAAGAGGGAAGGGGACGAGGGCGGAAGGGAGGGGGGAAGGACTAGAAGGATAGGAGGAGGAGGAGAGAGGAAGGGCAAGGGCAGGGGAAGAGAGAGAGAGAGAGGGACAAGAAACAGAAGGTTAAGGTCTAAAGTTATAGACTTACAGAGCAAGGATATTCATTATTCATATAAAATAACTTCATAAAATCCTATTTGAGAGACAAGAAAAAAGAAAACTACAAAGTCAACCTGGCTAAAGATGTAAATTAAGAGGAAGCCTCAAATACTGTACAACATTTTGCAAAGAACCAGCAAGAAAGAGTTGGATACGCACCTTCCAAAGAAACGAAAGCAAGAATGAAAGCGCACCTTACAACACTTNAGGAAGGGTAAGAGGAGGGAGGAGGCGTCGAGAGGCCACCGCCCCCGCTTCAACCCCGCAGAGAGCGAAGAGGAAGAGGAGGGGAGGAGCGGTCGAGAGGCCACCGCCCCCGCCTCAACCCCGCAGAGAGGAAGAGGAGGAGGAGGGGGAGGAGGGTCGAGAGGCCACCGCCCCCTCAACCCGCAGAGAGGAAGAGGAGGAGGAGGGGGAGGAGGGTCCGAGGCCCACCGCCCCGCCTCAGCAGAGAAGGAAGAGGAAGAGGAGGGGGAGGAGGGTCGAGAGGCACCGCCCCGTCCCCGCAGAGAGAGAGGAAGAGGAGGGGAGGAGGTCGAGAGGCCCGCCCGCTCAACCCCCAGAGAGGAAGAGGAAGAGGAGGGGGAGGAGGGTCGAGAGGCCACCGCCCCCGCCTCAACCCCGAGGAAGAGGAGAGGAGGGGGCAGGAGGGTCAGAGGCCAGCCCCCGCCTTACCCCGCAGAGAGAGGTGAGGGGGAGGGGGAGGGAGGGTCGAGAGGCCCCACGCCCCCGCCTCAACCCGCAGAGAGGAAGAGGAAGGAGGAGGGGGAGGAGGGTCCGAGAGGCCAGCCGTCCCCGCCTCAACCCGCCAGAGAGGAAGAGGAAGGAGGAGGGGAGGAGGGGTCGAGAGGCCACCGCCCCCGCCTCAACCCCGCAGAGAGGAAGGGAGAGGAGGGGGAGGAGGGTCGAGAGGCACCGCCCCGCCTCAACCCCGCAGAGAGGAGGGAGGAGGAGGGGGAGGAGGGTCGAGGAGCACCGTCCCCGCCTCAACCCCGCAGAGAGGAGGGAGGAGGAGGAGGGGGAGGAGGGTCGAGAGGCCACCGCCCCGCCTCAACCCGCAGAGAAGGAGGGAGAGAGGAGGAGGGGCAGCCGAGAGGCGGCCCCCCGCTCAACCGAGAGAGGAAGAGGAGAGAGGAGGGGGAGGAGGGTCGAGAGGCCCGCCCCCCGCCTCAACCCGCACGAGAAAGGAAGAGGAGGGGGAGGAGGTCGAGAGGCCACCGCCCCCGCCTCAACCCGGAGAGGAGGGAGGAGGAGGAGGGGAGGAGGGTCGAGAGGCCACCGCCCCCGCTCAACCCGCAGAGAGGAGGGAGGAGGAGGAGGGGGAGGAGGGTCGAGAGGCCACCGCCCCCGCCTCAACCCCGCAGAGAGGAAGAGGAAGAGGAGGGGAGAGGGTCGAGAGGCCACCGTCCCGCCTTCAACCCCGCAGAGAGGAAGAGGAAGAGGAGGGGGAGGAGGGTCGAGAGGCCACCGCCCCCGCCTCAACCCCGCAGAGAGGAAGAGGAAGAGGAGGGGAGGAGGGTCGAGAGGCCACCGCCCCCGCCTCACCCCGCAGAGAGGAAGAGGAGAGAGGGGAGGAGGGTCGAGAGGCCACCGTCCCCGCCTCAACCCGCAGAGAAGGAAGAGGAAGAGGAGGAGGAGGAGGGTCGAGAGGCCACCGCCCCCGCCTCAACCCCGCAGAGAGGAAAGGAGGAGGAGGGGGAGGAGGGTCGAGAGGCCACCGCCCCCGCCTCAACCCCGCAGAGAGGAAGAGGAAGAGGAGGGGGAGGAGGGTCGAGAGGCCACCGCCCTCGCCTCAACCCCGCAGAGAGGAAGAGGAAGAGAGGGGGGGAGGAGGGTGAGAGGCCACCGCCCCCGCGCTCAACCCCGCAGGAGGGAAGAGGAAGAGGAGGGGGAGAGGGTCTGAGAGGCCACCGCCCCGCCCAACCGCGCAGAGAGGAAGAGGGAAGAGGGGGGAGGAGGGTCGAGAGGCACCGCCCCCGCCTCAACCCCGCAGAGAGCGAAGAGGAAGGAGGAGGGGAGGAGGGTCGAGAGCCACCGTCCCCGCCTCACCCGCCAGAGAGGAAGAGGAAGAGGAGGGGAGGAGGGTCGAGAGGCACCGTCCGCTCACCCCGAGAGAGGAAGAGGACGAGGAGGGAAGGAGGTCGAGAGGCACCGCCCGCCTCAACCCGCAGAGAGGAAGAGGAAGAGGAGGGAGAAGGTCGAGAGGCCCCCGTCCCGCCTCAACCCCGCAGAGAGGAAAGAGGGAAGAGGAGGGGGAGGAGGTCGAGAGGCCACCGCCCCCGCCTCAACCCGGCAGAGAGGAGGGAGGAGGAGGAGGGGAGGAGGTGGGAGGCCCACCGCCCCCGCCTCACGCAGAGAGGAAGAGGAGGAGGAGGGGGAGGAGGGTCGAGAGGCACGCCCCGCCTCAACCCCGCAGAGAGGAAGAGGAGGAGGAGGGGGAGGAGGGTCGAGAGGCCACCGCCCCCGCTCAACCCAGAGAGGAAGAGGAAGAGGAGGGGGAGGAGGGTCGAGAGGCCACCGCCCCCGCCTCACCGCAGAGAAGAAAGAGGAGGAGGAGGGGAGGGAGGGTCGAGAGGGCCACGCCCCGCCTCAACCCCGCAGAGGAGAGAGAGAGGAGGAGGGGGAGGAGGGTCGAGAGGCCACCGCCCCGCCTCAACCCGCAGAGAGGAAGAGGAGAGGAGGGGGAGGAAGGGTCGAGAGGCCACCGCCCCCGCCTCAACCCCGCAGAGAGGAAGAGGAAGAGGAGGGGAGGAGGGTCGAGAGGCCACCGTCCCCGCCTCACCCGCAGAGAGGAAAGAGGAAGAGGAGGGGGAGGAGGTCGAGAGGCACCGCCCCGCCTCAACCCCGCAGAGAGAAGAGGAGGAGGAGGGGGGAGGGTCGAGAGGCCACCGCCCCCGCCCAACCCCGCAGAGAGGAAGAGGAAGAGGCCAGGGGAGGAGGGTCGAGAGGCCACCGCCCCCGCCTCAACCCCGCAGAGAGAAAGAGGAAGAGGAGGGTCGAGAGCCACCGCCCCGCCTCAACCCCGCAGAGAGGAGAGGAGAGGAGGGGGGAGGGGTCGAGAGGCCAGTCCCCCTCAACCCCGCAGAGAGGAAGAGGAAGAGGAGGGGAGGAGGGTCGAGAGGCCACCGCCCCGCCTCAAACCCGAGAGAGAGAGAAGGAGGAGGGGGAGGAGGGTCGGAGGGCGCCACCGCCCCGCCTCAACCCCGCAGAGAGGAAGAGGAAGAGGAGGGGGAGGGAGGGTCGAGAGGCCACGCCCCCCGCTCAACCCGCAGAGAGGAAGAGGAAGAGGGAGGGTCGAGAGGCCACCGCCCCGCCTCAACCCGCAGAGAGGAAGAGGAAGAGGAGGGGGAGGGAGGGTCGAGAGGCAACCGCCCCGCTCAACCCCGCAGAGAGGGAGGAGGGAGGGGGAGGAGGGTCGAGAGGCCACCGTCCCCGCTCAACCCCGCAGAGAAAGAGGAGGAGGAGGGGGGAGGAGGGTCGAGAGGCCACCGTCCCCGCCTCAACCCCGCAGAGAGGAAGAGGAGGGGGGAGGGAGGTCGAGAGGCCACCGTCCCTCGCCTCAACCCCGCAGAGAGGAAGAGGAGGGGGGAGGAGGGTCGAGAGGCCACACGCCCCCGCCTCAACCCCGCAGGAGAGGAAAGAGGAGGGGGAGGAGGGTCGGAGGCAACCGTCCCGCTCAACCCCGCAGAGAGGAGGGAGGAAGAGGAGGGGGAGGAGGGTCGAGAGGCCATCGCCCCCGCCTCAACCCCGCAGAGAGGAGGGGAGAGTAGGGGGAGGAAGGGTCGGAAGGCCACGCCCCCGCCTCAACCCCGCAGAGAGGAAGAGGAAGAGAGGGGGAGGAGGGTCGAGAGGCCACGCCCCGCCTCAACCCGCAGAGAGGAAAGAGGAGGGAGGGGGAGGAGGAGGGGGCCCCGCCTCAACCCGCAGAGGAGGGAAGAGGAGGGGGGGAGGGTCGAGAGGGCCACCGCCCCCGCCTCAACCCCGCCAGAGAGGAAGGGAAGAGGAGGGGGAGGAGGGTCGAGAGGCCACCGCCCCGCCTCAACCCCGCAGAGAGGAAGAGGAAGAGGAGGGGGAGGAGGTCGAGAGCCACGTCCCGCCTCAACCCCCGCAGAGAGGAAGAGAAGAGGAGGGGGAGGGGGTCGAGAGGCCACCCGCCCCCGCCTCAACCCCGCCAGAGAGGAAAGAGGAAGAGGAGGGGGAGGAGTGTCGAGAGGCCACCGCCCCCGCCTCAATCCCCGCAGAGAGGAAGAGGAAGAGGAGGGGGAGGGAGGGTCGATGAGGCCACGCCCCGCCTCAACCCGAGAGAGGAGGGAGGAGGGGAGGGAGGGGGTCTTCGAGCGGCCACCGTCCCCGCCTTTCACCCGCAGAGAGGAAGAGAGAGGAGGGGGAGCAGGGTCGAGAGCCACCGTCCCCCCTCAAACCCCGCAGAGAGGAGCATAGAGAGGGGGAGGAGGGTCGAGAGGGCCACTCCCGTCCCGCTCTCAACCCCCGCAGAGAGGAAGAGGAAGAGGAGGGAGGGAAGGGTCGAGG